TGAAATGCTATCTCAGGTTCATTAAATGTCCAAGCATGAGAAGATGCACATTAGCATATCAGCTGAGACAGTAACTTTCCTCCTCTATTTTTCTTTTTTCTTTTCTTTTATTGAAAACAATTATGATTAGAGAAGTAAAATCTCTCTCTTCTTTTTGAATCTATTTTAGCTTTTAAGAGCATTTTGCTAATCGGAGCCTTCATTTTAATTATATGCAAAAATTTATATTTGATTTATACAGAACATATAATGTCAATCAATTAGCTGATAAAATTATGGAGATCAGATTAACTTTATAACTTATGCCAAATAAACAATAGATTGGAATTTAAGATAATCAACAAAGCTTAACAAAACAATGATAAGTAACTAAAGCCATTACCTTGCCATGGGATATGCGCTGAAGGTTACAGATTGGATGCAAACCGAACTTTATGCATATTATTCCAAAAGTGCGTGCCCCCCATACTTGAACCCTTGTTTTCATGCTTGATTGAATAAGCATTCCCTAGCATATCAAAGCTAATACGATTAGAACTAAAAGAACATCGTACTTGAGAGGAGACAATTTGAACTATAAGAACTTCCTATGTTTAGTACACACCACATTAACATTCTACCTTTGAGGTAACAATAAGTATAAATTATAGGAATGCTCACCATTAACAAATCTTGCAATAAAAAACTGAAATTTTGATTCTGCAATTACAATTAACTACTTGATGCAAGTGTCTTTCAAATATTATTTTCGAACTTTCTTCTAACCAAAAATCAAGGAGAATACCAAATCCATGCCAGAACGAAACACACTTAAGTGGACGAAAAAGTAATGCACCTTTTGTTAAAGGACCAAACGGCCTTTTTTTCTTTTTTTTTTTGGAATTTTAAGCAAATATTATAAATGTAAAAGTAATTACAATGTGGGCCTTTGGCCAAACAGCCCGTAAGGGATTACAAGCCCAGTAAGGGCAAAACAAGAGGGACCAGGCCCAAATAACACCTAACCTTACACAATAACTGAAAACCAAAATTAACTGCCTTGGTTGCTGTTAATGGTGGTTATCAGCCATTCAGTCCGGTGAACTTAGGCTCCGCCATTGAGCAGGTGATTGGTAGTGTCCGGCGGATGAGGAGGGGGTCTGCAGCAAGAGGGGGATAGATTCCATTCTGAGAGAATTTTCCTAGCTGTAGAGCAGTCTTGAAGAAAGCCCAGCCTAAGAATTGCAGTGATGGTGCATAACTTGATGAAGGAAAGCTGCTTCTTTTTTCTCTTTTTCTTCTTTTCCTTTTCTTTTCTTGGGGTAAGTCTTGATAATAGGGAAGCTTAACAAGGCTCGCTATACAAATCTCTGCTATACATGAACGAATGCCAAGAAACACGAGTCTTTGCTGTTTCAGGTCTAACCAATTATTAATTTGTATTAGGAGTACTTGGCTGCTGCTCTTTGAATGAGCTAAAACTTTCACTCGGCAACAATAAGGATCTTTATATAATTGTTAACGGAAAGAAAGACAAAGTTTGATCCACGACTCGTGCACCATGTAATCCTTCATAAACCATAATTCAACGAGGTAATCATCATCAATATAACCCGCCCATAAGCATCCACCGGAAACCCCCAAATTCACCGACCGATAACCTGATATGTTTGGGAGTTTCACCTCTCGGTAATTCTCAGCCACAAGATCAAAAGCAAAAATAAAATTAACCACATTTGACTTGGATATATTGGCGAGTAGCCACCCAAAGTACACCAGAAAAACTACATAGATGAGGGAAATGATGTTGAATCCATCTCCATTTATTTGATCTCACACTAAAAACTGCTGGACAAGAGTTTAAAAGAACACCACTATCACTTAAATCACAATCATCGTCATAAAGATAAGCTACCCTTACAATCTTGTAATCGTCATTGACAGGATCATACCCAAATCCAAAAACTTGGAAGGAAATATCTGCACAAGGTTGCAGCGTAGATGGTAAAATCTGGTGTTTCTTGGTGGAAGGGTTAAACAAAATGGGGTTGCACCACAATTCAGGCGTAGCAAAAAATCATCACGCATCAAACAGATCAAGCCATTGCAAGAACCTATTATATGAAAACTCGGTACTCAAGTTTTACTGGTGGAACAATATTGTCATCATGTTTCCAGATATCATCCAGAGAATCCAACCCTGCAGAACCGAGGTCGTGGTCTGGGTTGGTGTTGTATTCAAAAATCAGACTGTGGTTAGTTGGTTGTGAGTGACTGATTGAGTTGCATATTGAGGAAGTTAGGGGAGTCGATTAGGGCACACCATCGTTTCGAAACGCACCTGAAGCGTAGCAAACTCGCAACTGGAAGTCGGGAGAGAACGTCGATCATCAAATCGTCGGGAATGTTGTTCGACAATGGCGCTTCAATGGACTGATCATGTCTTCTCTTCCTCATGTTCACTGCTTGTTAGGGTTTTGAGACTTTGAGAGTCCAATTTAAAAAGTTGAGAAGGCAATTCCATGAATCCTGGTACAATTCGGACTTATGTATATACGTGTCTAATTGTTATTTTTTTATTTATTTTTTTTCTCCTATAGAAAGTTTGAATTTGCCTTTTATTTTCGTAAAATAAAAAAAAAGGACAATAGTTGTGAATGTGCATTCACAGTCGCACATCTGATATTGAAAAATAAATTGTAATTAATGTCACTTTCTTATTTTTTTAGAATTATAAAACTTCAACTTTGAGACCAAATTCCCCTTTTAAATTATTTTCTCTTTCTTTATACCAAATAACATTCCTTCTTTCCTCTGTTACATATATTTAACTTTATTTTTTTCCTTTATTTTTAAAGATTGTCTTCTTTTTTTTTTTTTAATTTCTTCCTGATTGGATTGATGTAATTTAATTGAAATAACAATATGAGATTGAGTTTTAATTGAAGTAATACTATAAAATTTGAGTTTTAATTAATATATAAAATAATAGAAGTATGGTTTCCAATCTATTCATAGTATGATTAACTATTATATATAGAAAATGAAAGAATTGAAAAAAAAAAGAAAGGAAAAAAGCAATTAATTCACATAAAATGTTTTTTTTTTCCTCTTTATCTAAAAAAGAGAGAGAAACAGTGAGAAACCATTCACACAATGAGCAAATATATATATAGTTAAAAACAATTGGAAAAAAAAAAAAAAAAAGAGAGAAAGAAAAGAATAAGACAGGTAAGCAAAGAAGAATGAATGTTATAGGTACATATACATATACGTACATGCAGGATAGCAGGATAGAAAAGAAAGAAGAAATATAAAAGAATAATTTAGTCTTAAAAGTTGAAATTTTATAGTTTCAAAAAAATAGGAAAGAGACATTAATTACAACTTCCAAATTGGATTTTTCAACCAATGTGAATGCACAGTCGCACTGGGTTTAGCACTCCTCATATATATATCTATGCACACACTTACAGGTACATATGTATAAAATTAACTTTTAAAGGAGAGTGAAATTAGGATTCAAACTTCCTAAAACAATACCTTCCAAAAACAAACAAAAATCATATACATAGCTGAGCAAATATAAATACACACACACACACATATATATATATATAAACAAACAAAAATCATATTATTAAAATTGCAATTCACCTCTACTTCCAAAATAATCCTCATTCTCACTTCAACAATCCTACGTTGGACAAGAGAAGGGCTTATTATTTTTTATATTGGTGAAGTTTCTTGCAATCTTTTAAAACCTTGACTTCTACTTCTGTAAAAACCCAAACTCAGGGGTCCGAAACACTAATCGGATCCTTACCAGAACCCGTAATCACCCAAAAGTAAAATGGTCAATCCAAAGCATGGAAATCAATTAAATGACTCAAATTGAGTCATACAAGATCAAAATAAATATATCTAAGTAGTCATTTGATTCCATACCACAAGGTTCTAGACACAAAAATTGTGATTTAATTCACACATCTTCCCTCTTTGGTTTCAAGTATTACCAAAATATGCCACACTCAAATGGTCAAAAATGTCTCTCTTCAATTGGAATCTGTGGTTGGGATTGGTAACATTGAAAAACTGACTCAAAAACCTTGAAATTGGACTCAAATTTAACCCAATTTGGAGTTAAAATGAGTAAAATATGGTCGTTCGAAAAATGGGTTCCAGATAAACTGAGTTGACTCATTCTCTACATGAGCCAAGAATAAGCCTCAAATTTGTTAAAAAACCTCACCGGAAATGCCTCTATGCATTTCTAACCTATACCATGCATCCTAAGACTTCAAAACTGAAATCTAGGCTTCCCAATAATAGAACATGGCATGGAAATAATTATACCACGTGTGGATAAGCATGATCGACATGCTTCTTGTGTTCAAGCAATGGGAGACTGAGATATATGAACCAAAGTATGTTCAGATAAATATACATATATATTATATAACTACTACGAGTATATATATAAACTTTGAAATAAATTTTTTTTTTCAAATCTCAAATTTAAAGTGACGATCTAGTGCTCCCCAACATATCATTTTTTTAGAAAGTGTATGACAGCAACGTACAAGTGAAGTGATTTTGTGCGAATAATTAATGAGAAAATTAGAGTGGGTTGTGTATGTATGTATGAGTGCGTGCTTAGCGTGTGGAGTTGAGAGATACTTGACGTGTGAGACTATTGTGAGAGCGTTCTTATCGTCTCTAAATTGACTTTGTGAGAATCAGTAATTTCTTTATACTAATAAAAAAATATATATATGTGGTTATAAAACTAAAAAATAAATTAATAACCAAAACTCACCCTCAATCTGCACTCGTCTCTCAGCACCAAAATGTATTGCATGACCAAATAAGAATTTTGAAACTAAAAATAAATAAATTAATAACCAAAACTCACCCTCAATCTGCACTGGTCTTTCAGCACCAAAATGTATTGCATGACCAAATAAGAAAACAATTCTGAAAACAACATATAGTCTTCTTATCTCTTGCCTCCAAATTTATCAGGGTGAAACAATGCTCTCCAGAAAAATCTCTGCATCCTTAACTACAAGCATAAAAGTCTCTCCATCATTATCTTGATCATAACATCTAAGGCTACCGAGTTGAGAATCACAGGGAATTCCTAAATATCTATGTGTATTTTTCTTTTTCTCTACATTAGATACAAGTAAGAAATGATCTATCTTAGATAGAAGATTATCCTTGTTTGAGAAATCCAAAGGCTTCACACGATTCCTTGGAATGGCAAAGCTAAGATTAGTCCACGACTAATAAAGAATTATTTACTATCACTTTTAGAAAATTTTATTTTCTTATGTTATTACCTTTTGAAATTTTTTATTTTATTCTATTATTATAGCTCAACTAATAAAGAATTAACTTCTATTTACTACTATATCTTTTTATTTAACCTTTTTTTTTTTTTTTACTCGTTCCCCTCATTCCAAGTTTTTTATTTACTCTTTTATTTTTTATTAATGAGTGTATATAGTTTGGACCGGTTATATTATATATTGAAAAAAATAAAACTTTAGCAAAACTTGAGTACAAGAATATAATTAGTAACTTTGCATCTTAAAAAAACGAATTTATTATTACCTTTTAATATTTTTTATTTTCCTTCTATTATTATACCCCAACCAATAGTAGAAGGTTCTAATTTTTTTTTTTTTTTTTTTTTTTTTTTTTTTTTTTTTTTTTTTTAAGTTTCATATATTATTATTATCTCCAAAAAAAAAAAAAAAATTTAATTTCTTAGTAGGCCCAAAGAATTAAGTTCTATTTTCTATCTCTGTTTAACCTTCTTTTTTTTTTTTTTTTCGTCGTCCCCCTCATTCCAAGTTTTTTATATACTATTTTTTTTTTTGAATAGTATATATATATATATATACTATTATTAAAAGTAGAAAGGGTGTCAAGAATTTCAAATCTTTTATATTAATTAAAAATAAATACATAATAAAATAACTTAAAAATAAATTACCAATTAAAAAACAACTCCTAATTTAATAAAGTTTTATAATAAATTACCAATTAAAATACAAACATAAGTTATCAATTAAAATAATAATCTTATTCTACATTGGATTCCTCGGAATTGTTACCAATTAAACTAATAAACCTATTCACGGGATTCCCCACGGTTTACTCCACATGGGATAAAAGGGACCAATTAAAATACAACTCCTAATTTGATAAAATTGTATCATAAGTTATCAATTAAAATAATAAACATAAGTTACCAAGAAGTATGTAAAAATCACCTTATATTATTTTTTCCTGGTTTTATCTTCGATTGTATGACAAATTTATTTATTTATTTTTTTCAATTCAACCCCAAACTTTACTTTACATGGGATCGCTTACACACACAGGCGATACACAGAAAGGGACGATGAGAAATTACAAAAAAATTGTGTCATCCGTTTCATTTGTTAAGTCTAAAAAGAATTCACAAGTTTTTATTTTTTTATTTTTTTACAATTTAGCCCTAAATTTAATGTTAGGTATAATGATATCTAATGAGACAAGAGGTATGTAAAAATTACCTTATATATATTTTTTTCCCCCAATTTTACCTTCGTTTGTATGACAAATTTTTTTTTTTTTTTTGTTCAATTCAACCCCAAATTTAATATTAGGTATAATGATAATAGCAGAGTCGTAGCAGTAAGAATAGATATCTAATGAGACCAGAGGTATGTAAGTATTGTAAATTATTTCTGAATAAGTCTAATGATATTGATGATGAGTACTTTTTTCTTCTTCTTTCCTTTTATTTATTTATTTATTATTATTATTTTTTTGAATAAGCCTAATTTGTCGTAATTGCAGAGATCACCAAATACTATAATTTGTAGTAATTGCAGAGTCCAACAATATTGGAGAAAGCATATATTTATTTATTTATTTATGATTTTCATATTTAATTCTATTATTTATGAACTTTTTCTATTTTATTTATTGATGTTGATTTCCTTATAATTTTTCATGTTTGTGATGAAGTTGTTATACAATGTTCCTTTGGTCCAAGTCCAAGTAATTTTTTAAAAATAAGTTTAGAAATTAAATATTAAAAATTAATGTAACGACTGAATTGCACGTGTCTTTAACTAAATGTATATATATATATATATATACTTTTTATTATTATTGTTATTATTATTTTTTACAAGGCAAGAAGGGTTTATTATATACTGAAAATACAAAATTTTAGCAAAAATTGAATACAACAATATAATTAGTAACTTTGCATCTTAAATAGGTAATAAATATAATTTTTAAATAAACAAAATTAATTATTATTTTATATTAATATATATTTTACATTAAAATTTTATTTTTATATTTTTCGCCAAGGCTTCAAATTATATGGAGCTTAACTATCAACCAAAGGGAATGTCACATCAGTCCTTGAGTAACATATGTGTGGAGGATGTGTAATTCATCGCTTTAAGATTGGGTGACATGACCGGGTAAATCAATTTTGTACTGCCACGTAAAATAATTCAATTTTTTTAAAAATCCTCAAATCATATTGGTGAAATTTCTTGCAATTTTATAAAACTTGGAATGGTACTTTTATAACGACTCAAACCCAGGAGTCCGAAACACCAACCGAGTCCCTACCTGAACCCGTAATCACCCATAAAATGGTCAATCCAGGCATAAAAATCAATGAAATGACTCAGAGTGAGTCATACAAGATCAAAATATATCTAACTAGTCATTTGACTCCATACCACAAGGTTTTAGATACAAGAATTGTGATTTCACACGCCCGCCCCCTTTGGTTTCAAGGATTACCAAAATATGCTACACTGAAATGGTAAAAAATCTCTCTCTATAATGAAATCTGTGGCTGAGGTTGGTACCATTGGAAAGCTGACTCAAAAACCTTAAAATTAGACTCATATTTGACCCAATTTGGAGTTAAAATGAGTGAGATATAGTCGTTTGAAAACAGAATATCAAATCTGACAAGTAGCAGGAATGAGTTAGCTTAGTTGCCAACTGAGTTGGCTTCTTTGCCAACTGAGTTGACTCAGTTGTCAAAGAAGTCGTCTTCTTTAGACCAAGAGCAATTTTTCTCAAATAATGGGTTCCAAATGAACTGAGTTGCCTCATTCTCTAAATGAGTCGGCTTCTTTCAGGGAATAAGCCAGAAATTTGTTAAAAAACCTCACTGGGAATGCCTTTCTGCATTTCTAACCTATACCATGCATCCTAAGGCCTCAAAACTGAAATCTAGGCACCCCAATAATGGAACATAGCAGGGAAATAATTATACCACGTGTGTGGATAAGCATGACACGTGAAATAAAAATTGAATATACAACTTATGCTTTATATTTGAAATGGCTCCAAGGCCTAAGATACAACCTTTTCCTTAGTAGGCCCAAAGAATTAACTTCTATTTACTATATTTATTTAACCATTTTTTTTAACTCGTTTATCTTTATTTAATTTTTTTTTTTTTTACTTTGTTCCCCTCATTCCAAGTTTTATATTTATTCTTTATTTTTTTTTATTTTATTAATGAGTGTATATAGTTTGGACCGGTTATATTATATATTGAAAAAAAATAAAACTTTAGCAAAACTTGAGTACAAGAATATAATTATTAACTTTGAATCTTAAAAAATGAATTTATTATTACCTTTTAATATTTTTTATTTTCCTTCTATTATTATACCCCAACCAATAGTAGAAGGTTCTATTTTATTATTATTATTATTTTATTTTTTAAGTTTCATATATTATTATCTCCAAAAAAAAATTTAATTTTTTAGTAGGCCCAAAGAATTAACTTCTATTTTTTTTCTCTCTCTCTTTTTATTTATTTATTTATTATTTTTTTTTGCGTCGTCCCCCTCATTCCAAGTTTTTATTTATTTATTTTTTTATTTATTAATAAGTATATCTATATATACTATTTTTTTTTTTTGAATGGTATATATATCTATATGTACTATTATTAAAAGTACAAGGAGTGTCAAGAATTTCAAATCATTATTATTAATTAAAAATAAATACATAATAAAATAATTTAAAAATAAGTTACTAATTAAGAAACAACTCCTAATTTAATAAAATTGTATAATAAATTACCAATTAAAATACAAACATAAGTTATCAATTAAAATAATAATCTTATTCTACAATGGATTCCACGTGATTGTTACCGATTAAACAAAGGTAAATTACACTCACACCCCCTGAGGTTAGGTCATATTTCAACTAGATGAAGATTTTTATTTTACTTTGCACTCGCACCCCAATTTACTTTTTGCTTGCGAATTGACCCTTTTACCCTTAATTTTTTAATACAAAATATATAAAATCTTAAATGACAAAAAGGCTCATCTGTGTGTGTATACATATATACTGTTTGTACACGTATCACTAATGGTCCCTATCAATCCTAACCGTCCAAACTCACACATCAGCACCTTCTGTCTCCTCTCCCTGCAGACCAATCCTCTTAAGATTCTTTGTCAATGATTTCACTGCCGATTGGGATTTTGGAAAAAGTCAATCAACTAATTATACTAAACATATAATTAAATTTATTTTTATGAGATTCAAAGGACAGTATTGTTGATGGCCAGTCATTTTGATGGTGATAGCCTTTGATTTCATTTCATCCTCATCTCTAAATTATCATGTTATGTCCTCACTTTCACACCGACCACATTCCCACCTCACTATCTGAACGGCGACAGGGAAGCGGCAGTGGCATAGACCACTGAAGAAACCACCGACAATGATGATGAACTTGGAAGACGTCGGTGAGTTTGGGTGAATTTTCAGTGTTTGGGATAATTTTTCAGCAATAATGAACTTATCGTCTGTGGACAAAGAGCTGACGGGTTCTGCTTCTGATAAAGAACTTGATAACATACTCCTTTACTCCTTTGGGTCTGAATCGCTGTTGCTGCGGACCCCATCCTCCTTCTAGTGTCAACCATTCTATACTTATAGAATATAATTGACATCAGCTGCTCCTCCTAACGAACCGTAAAAGAGTACAATGAACCCTAACATAGCTCTAAGTTTTAAGAGACGCAACGCGGAAGACTTCTAACGAAAGACACTCCTAAGGACACTAGAACCTGGAGTGCTCTGATACCAACTGTAATACCCCCGGATTTTCGGATGCGGGTTGGCCAGGCCCACGCCCGACTACCCGATGATATCAAACAAATTAGCAATAATCGAATACAGAATATAATTAAGATAAACATGAGTAAATAAAATTCGCTGGAAAGAAACTAAATGAAAATCCTTTATTGAAAACTTCAGAATAAATCTTATAAATAAGAACTAGTCTGTTACATCCAACTTCTCCATTTATAATACAACTCGGGAATCCATCTGGTGGACCCCTAATCAAAAGCCAATACTAGAAAGCGAACAACTAAAAAGAAGTCCACTGCTAAACCATGAAGAACCTCCTACATCGTTGGTAGAATGAGTAGTCGTCTCTACTCAGCACGAACAAGATCTAAGACCTGGAATCGTCCGTTACCTGAAAAATAATAGTGGGTCAGGCCCACGAACAAGTTCTATCCTAACTACAATCCAAGTAGATACTCGATACGCATATACATCCTAATCAGTTCAACAATAGCTAATAGTCCTTACATAAGTATATTCACACTACAGGACTCTCACTAGACTATGGAGGGGGTCTCAACCTAAATAGAAGGTAACATGCAATACGCACCTGAGTGGGAATGACTACCTAAGCCTAACAGGTTATACCTCAACCAACATAGCTAGCTACGCATCCTACTGCATATACGCACCCTAACCGTCGACTGTGAGACTCAAACTCAGATCGCGGTACCATAATTTATATATATATAAATTCTCAACCAAACCAATGTAGTGCCGCTCAACTGTTTGTCGCTCAAGATACCACATTTAATCAGGATTTTAAACGTTTTAGTTAAAACCCTATCCTTCCTAATACAGAAATATAAACAACCATCCAGTATGTCGTTCAACTGTTTTAGTTGACGGGACACGAAACCATGTAGGATTTAACTGTTTTAGTTAATCCATTCCGTATGTATGAAGCGTTTTGATCTAATCCGTCCCTCCGTATCCCATCGTCCCATACCAGTGTATACCATGCAAATGATCCGTAATGATGCAACATTTTGAGCAGTTCATCAAAGAAAGTCCACATAATCCATATAGTTGATAATACAGAATTGAAACAGTTTATCCACTAACAATCCATAATCCATCCATCTACCAACGAGACAAAGTTTACTAAATCATCAAGTTCAAATCCAGCATTCATCCCGTTAATTGACAGAAAATATATATATATAATGCTTCAATTAATTCTAGTCTGACATCCAATTAAATTGACAACACAGGTAATAAATGCAATTATCAGCTATATAACCTATCCTGCAGTAATCCAACATTCACAGTTGACCATACAAATAATAAATGTAATTATCCACTCTATAGTATATCCAACAAGTCCATGGTCACTCAATAAATTGTAAATATGAACTGCTTCACATTATGCATGACAAAAGCTTGTTAATTAGTAAACTTATTTAGCCCTACCTCAACCAGTACCATAGTTTTTAATACATATCAAATATATATAACCCTTAAATGAATCCAAATAAACATGATAGATTTGTTTTACAAACTTGCATACTTATCCTATACTACTCCACCATTGTCCAAGTGTGAACAATACACTCAATGTAAATGCACACCTTCCATCCCTTACAGGTATGTAATTCATTCTGTAGTCCTACATGCCTATAATCCATCACAGAAATCTGAACAGAGCCTAACTCCATTCCCAAATAAACTGCTACAACTAAGGCTGTGTGGTTTAGATCTTAAGTCCCAAAACAGTTTACTGGTTTGCTTAGAATTGCTTTATTGTTCTAAACAACATTACTGGTTGGTTGAATATGAATTAATGAGCCCTCTAAAGACCTAAATTAATCCCACTCATCAATCCCAAATCCTATTTACAGCTCCTAAACACCTCCGCCATAACAAAACCAGCCCCAGAATTCTCAAAAACTCACAAAACTGGAAACACACGAGGAGAGCAGGCTCCCACAAGGTGGAGCCGCCTCCACCAATGCTTAAGCCGGCTCCAGACCATGGTAGAGCCGGCTCCACACCATGTAGAGCCGACTCCATCGTCTTTTGGAGCCGCCTCCAGTTCTCCCTCTCCTCTATTCGTTTGCTTCTTTTCCGTTTGCTTGCACTACTTCCGTTCTTCTGTGTTACAGCTTTTAACACCCTTGTTTGTGTTCAAAACCACCCAGAGGAAACCCATCTAACCCCTTCTACCATTAATTAACAGTAATTTAAAAGAACAATTGCACAGTTAAATCCAAAACAAACAGTTCGTAACAAGTTCCAGCACATACTGTTATAAGGAGTTCTAAACATGCAAAGTCAGTTTTAAATTTCATTTAACGATTTCCTGGAACTACTTAGGCATGTAAAGAACACAAGTAAAAGGGAAAGAGATGAGGTTAGAACTTGCCTTTAGCTTTTCCCCGTCTCAATTCTCCGGCGACACCTTTGTTTATCTCTCTGTTTCCTCCCAACTGCTCCAAAACTTCTCACCACCTTACTGTGTCGTAATGGTATTCTAAAACCCTAGGCAAATCCCTTAGATGAGTATATATAGGCAAACTAACCCTAGGCTCACATAAAACCCTAATATAACTCACTCGGCTCATAAACAAAAACTTACAATTAAATTCCATTTAATAAAACAATAATAAATCAATTAAATCAAATTATCCAATTAAGTCAATTAATGCAAATAATGTTAAATAATTCAACTAAGGCAATTAAACCAAAATAATAAACGCAAATAAATAATTAACAAATAAATCAATTAATACACACAAATAAACAATTTGCCACATAAGCATTTATTCATAAAATTAATAAATAAAATAAAAATGCACATAAAATAACATTTAAATTCCAATTTTGCAGGTGACGCCGCTGAAGTTGAATTGGTTGAACGGTCGTAGGTGACTGGTTCTTGTTGTTGATGTGGCCTTCTTGGGTTTATGTTTGTTGCGATCATGACGTTGATGGTGACAAAGGGTGATCGGTATCACCGGGATGGGTCTGTGGAGAGAGAGATTGTAGGAGAGAGAAGATGGCTTATGTGTGTAAGTCTTTCGCTGGAGTATTTCGCTTGAGAGAGAAGATGGCTTATGTGGGAAGTATTTGGCTGACGTGGATATTCCTCTCCCTCTTGGGCATGTTGGGGGTAGTTTGGGCATAAAAATAGTCAATACGTGGTCAAAGGGTAGCATAGTCAGTTAATATCTCAAAAGTATTATGAACTCACCAAAAATTGACATTTGGGGTATAAGTAAAATGCTAAACCACTAATTCAAATATAAGTGAAATTTGAAATCAAAAATTTCATATAACTGAAATATGATCTAACCTCATGGGGTGTAATCCTATTCACAGGATTCCTCACGGTTTACTCTACATGGGATAAAAGGGACCAATTAAAATACAACTTCTAATTTAATAAAGTTGTATTATAAGTTACCAATTAAAATAATAAACATAAGTAAAACTTGAGAACCTTAAAAACCACAATTCATTATCATGTATGAAACAACAAAACTATATGATAACATCCGGTTAGCACTTCACATTCTACTTTTTATTTTTCTCATTCGGCTTGGGTTGGATGAAAACTTTTGCATGTCTTAGCTATTGGGACCAAAACTTTTGAAACTATTGGGTTGGATGAAATTAAACATGAAACTATTTAAGGAATGGAATTCAACCTACACCCATATTTTTTTTCAGCAACCTACACACATATTTGGGGTACAAGTGAGTTGGAAAAATTACTATCTCATCCTCCGAGAGAAATTATTTCATAGTGTCTAGCTAAGTCCACCTAGTCATCATGTTGATCGCCTGGCTCATTGGATCAATAAGAAATCAACACACATGCATATTATATACCAATAATCAAAATTTATATATATTTGATTAATGTTTAAGAAAAAAATTAAATTTGATTTATACAGAACATATAATGTCAATCAATTAGCTGATAGAGATTAGATTAACTTCATAACTTATGCCAAATATACAAGAGATTGGAATTTAAGATAATAGACAAAGCTTAACAAAACAATGATAAGTATTAACATGCGATGAAGGTTATAGATTGGACGCAAACCGAACTTTATGCATATTATTCCAAAAGTGAGTGCCCCATATATACTTGAACGATTGTTTTCATGCACACGGGGACTGAGAGAATACGATTAGAACTAAAAGAACATCCAACTTGAGAGGAGACAATATGAACTATAAGAACTTCCTATGTTTAGTACACCACATTAACATTCTACCTTTGAGGTAACAATCAGTATAAATTATAGGAATGCTCACCATTAACAAATCTTGCAATAAAAAACTGAAATTTTGATTTTGCAATCACAATTAACTACTTGATGCAAGTGTCTTTCAAATATTATTTTCGAACTTTCTTCTAATCAAAAATCAAGGAGAATACCAAATCCACACCAAAATGCACACTTAAAGTGGACGAAAAGTAATGCACCTTTTGTTAAGGGACCAAACGGCCTTCATAACTTGATGAAGGAAAGCTGCTTCTTTTTTCTCTTTTTCTTCTTTTCTTTTTTCTTTTCTTGGGGTAAGTCTTGATAATAGGGAAGCTTAACAAGGCTCGCTATACAAATCGCTGCTCCACATGAACGAATGCCAAGAAACACGAGTCTTTGCTGTTTCAGGTCTAACCAAAAAAGTCTGCTATTAATTTGTATTAGGAGTACTTGGCTGCTGCTCTTTGAATGAGCTAAAACTTTCACTTGGCACCAATGAGGATCTTTATTTACTTGAAAATGGAAAGCAAGAAAAAGTTTGGTCCACAACTCGTGCACCTTCATAACCCATAATTCAACGAGGTAATCATAATCAATATAACCCGCCCACAAGCATCCACCGGAAACACCCAAAGTCACCGACCGATAACCCGATGTGCTTGGGAGTTTCACCTCTCGGAAATTCTCAGCCACAAGATCAAAAGCAAAAATAAAATTATCCACATTTGACTTGGGTCGGCGAGTAGCCACCCAATGCAAAGCACCATTAAAAACCACACCAGAAAAATTAAATAGATGAGGGAAACCATCTTGAATATGAATCCATCTCCATTTATTTGATCTCAAAGTAAAAACTGCTCCACAAGAGTTTAAAGGAGCATCAGCGCTTAAATCACTATCATCATAAACATAAGCTACCCATACAATCTTGTAATCGTCATTGACAGGATCATACCCAAATCCAAAAACTTGGGAGAAAATATCTGCAAAAGGTTGCAGCGTAGAAGGTAAAATCTGGTGTTTCTTAGTGGAAGGGTTAAACAAAATGGGGGATGTACCACAATTATACCAATCATCATCACGCATCAAACAGATCAAGCCATTGCAAGAACCTATTATATGAAAACGTTCTTCTACTCGGTACTCAAGTTTTACCGGTGGAACAATATTGTCATCATGTTTCCAGATATCATCCAGAGAATCCAATCCTGCAGAACCGAGGTCGTGGTCTGGGGAGGCGTCGTATTCAAAAATCAGACTGTGGTTAGTGTTGGTTGTGAGTGATTGATTGAGTTGCATATTGAGGAAGTTAGGGGAGTCGATTAGGGCACACCATCGTTTCGAAACGCACCTGAAGCGTAGCAAACTCGCAACTGGAAGTCGGGCGAGAACGTCGACCATCAAATCGTCGGGAATGTTGTTCGACAATGGCGCTTCAATGGACTGATAATGTCCTCTCTTCCTCATGTTCACTGCTTGTTAGGGTTTTGAGACTTTGGCAGTCCAATTTAAAAAGTTGACAAGGCAATTCCTACTCCTAGAATGAATCCTGGTATCGGACTTATGTGTATATATACGGTCTAATATGTACAAAATTAACTTTTAAAGTAGAGTGAAATTAGGATTCAAACTTCTTAAAATAATACCTCCCAAAAATAAGATCTTCCTAAAACAATGCATTATTTTTGTTTTTTAGAATCGAATGATCAAATTTTGGGTTCCACCGTAACTGTACAAATATAAATACATACATATATATATAAACATATAAAAATCATATTATTAAAATTGCCATTCACCTCCACTTCCAAAGTAATCATCATTCGCACTTTAACAATCCTAAGTTGGATAAGAAAAGGGCAAGAACCTTTATTTATTTATTTATTATTATTATTTTTATGCACAAATTGAAAGCATTTTATAATTCTAGCAATCTTTCTTCATATCAATCACATATTCTCTCCACTTTGAGAAGATAGAGAGCAAAACCAACCCTTCAAAACACTATTGCTAAATGTCAATTCAATTTTTTTTGGTAATGCTCAGACACATATCCTGATATTTATAGGGATAGTGGTCAAGAATGTATAAGATTAGGTATATAATATATACGGTGTACGAGGCCTTTGATTTGTATAAGATCAGATGGTGTACTATCGAACAATGGTACAAGTAGAAAATTGTGTTATATCATATTAAAGATGAGGTAAAAGATATGTTAATCCAATTAAAAATGGGCCAAACCAGTTCTGATCTAAGTCACACAATTCTTCTCAACGGGTATCACTTTCACGTTCTGAGCGCGCTCGCGCTTTCACGCTCCACGCACGCACTCGCTTAAATTCTCACTATTTGTTACTTAATTTTGCCATTTTCATGCTCCCGTTCTCGAATTCGCTCTCGCTTTATGTGACTTAGGTTCTGATTCTATTTTTGTTATATTTATATTTTAAAATTCTCAAGACAATTGTCATAATTTTTTTTTTTGGTAAGTGACAATTGTCATAATTTGTGTGTGTCACATACCTAATCAGTACCTATTCACCAGTGAGTAAGCAAGTATTTTTCAAATAAATATATGCTTTGAAACTAAAAATATGTTATTATAAAGAATTATGACACTTTTAAAATGGTAGAAACTCAAAATATAATAGAAATTTTTTATACTATAGATATAAATATAGACATTGATATGACTCATGACCCATACACCTGTTACTATCTTATTGATTGTCAGACTTGGCTTTATTCAAGAGATGGTTGGTTCAGTGTCGAAGCAGCCTATATATCAAGTTGCTATGTCCATCAAGCAATCCAAGCACTCTAGTCTCCCTAATGGTGGCATATAGTGCATCAATATTCGAGAGTAAACTCTACAGTGGAAAGGAATGTATAGTTTAAAAATATAGTCGAAGATAAACCATTTTTCCAGGCAATGTTTTCACAATAAAAACTTGTTCGGTCGATGTTTATAGCCATCCAAGTGTGGAAACTTTCCTTCTTTAAGGTAGGATAACTTGTTGGGATTGTTGGTGGAGAGATCAGTGTGAAGAATGGGATAGATTTTCTAATAGGGGGATCCTAAAAGGATTTGTAGCTTCAATTTGTTTGGCAAATCTGGAAGCAGGCACAGACCCAACATAGGATTAGTGGGGGTATAGGTTGGATTTTTTATATTTTTATTTTATATCTCAATTTTTAAAAAATTTATGAAGATACCCCGCTAAAATTATAATTTATCCCCACTGATTTTTTTTAATTATTTATTATCATTTTTTTTCATCTTACACTTTAAATTTTTGAAAATTTATGAAGAAAACTTCATTAATATTACAAAAATGGACCGACTATATAAGTTTACATCCACAAATTAAAAGCTAGGTCATCTCACAAATTTTTTTGAATCCGTCATGTCTCGAAGGCTAAAAATGACTGGGTTTTCAAAATGATTGGTGGAATGCGAATGACATTGCATAGCCACTACGAACACCAACCACCTCTGCTTTATGTGCTCCAATCAACCAGAATCTCACAGCCAATATATTTTTCAACTATACTTTCTCTGCTAGGGTTTTGGAACGTACTCTTCAACATCTATATGGCATTTATCATGGTGACCTTGATTTCCAGTCTATTGCTAGCTGGATGTCATCCTAACTCAAAATCGAGCCGTGACCTATAAGCGTTGCTTTAACAGCTGCATCTACTTTCTATTATAAGAAAGAAACAACTGTACCTTCAATGGGAAGAGTGCCTCAGTGGAGTGAATCCAGCATTTGATCTTCCATAATGTCCACAGTGGATTGCTCTCTATCAAGTTCCAAGACTGCAAGAGTTATAACGGTCCGTCACACATAAGGGAGATCCGTGTAAGATATTTTCATTTTTAAGAGAGGTTCGCGTAATTTCCAAAACAATAAGAGTGATTCCTGTAATTAGGACAAATCATAGGGAATGTCTGTGTAAATAAGGGTAAAATTATTATTAACAAAGTTTCATTAATATTCCGTTTACTTGGCCTTGGTCAAACTACCTAGAAAAGGAATGTTGTGGGCAATGTAGCTGTCAACAGAGTTAAAGAGTGAAAATGGGGTAACTCGCATCTAGGCTCCACATGATTAAGGGGAGTGCCTCTACTAACTGTATTACCTAGCTCAACCCCAAAGCTAAGGTCTAAGGCTGTCACTTAAATACAGGTTGAAGACGTTGGTAGAAAACCCCGAATAGTTTTATCCAATAATTTAGGCATTCACAAACTAAAATTTTCATGTGCTTTGCATGAAAAACGAGAGTTGATAGTTGCACAATACGAACAATATTTATGATCAAAGAACAGTATAGTATATCCATTCAAGTCTTAAGTAAGATACTTGTTCTAGCATGAAAACAACAAAGGACAACACAAATAAATATGACAAAGAAGAATTACACAACTAATTAATGATCTGATAAGATGGATATCAAATAGCCTTGTGATAAATAATCTAGAAATTGTACTCAAAGCACACGAGTAAAAGTTGAAACAAAAAGAAAATATGTACATGCTTTATTCACACAATCAAAGAATACGCAACAAAGCTATAGAAATTTCAGATATTTATAAAAATTAACAAAAAAAAGTTAAGTAAAGCCCATAAATTGTGTTGGTCCCGTCATAAGGTATGCAAAAAGTGGTGGATTAGATGCAGCGAGAACATTTGGCATAATTTACCACAAGTGATTGCACTCATACTCAAACCCTTGTTCTCACGCTTGACAACATAAATACCTTATATATATATATATATATCATATGTTAAATTCATGGGTGATCAGAAAAGACACACATCCTATGTATACAAAAGACATTATGATTCCACCTTTGAGAGTGCCATTATCACAAAACTAAAAACAATTAATTGGAAATCACAGTAATGTACGAAATAAAGGTATATATATCTCTAGCAAACACTATTAAGACTTTCTTCTAAACTAAGAATGAAGCAGAATACCAGATCCATGTCAAATGCAACAATATTGTTGACCAAAAAGGAATGCAACTGCCTTTGTCAAGGGACCAAAAAGCCTTCATAAATCGTAATAACAATTACTAATTACTGATCCTTAATCACCCTGTCAGCTTAACAAGGCTTGCGACGCAAATCTCTGCTTCAAGTGAAGAAATACCAATATAAAATAGACTTCTACTTAGCATTCAACATTCTTCCATTTTTTTTTTTTTGTTCTCATTCTTCACCACAATTTAACATAATCCCAAGTTTAGAAAGTCTACAATCGAAGCTGACATGAACAGAGAAGTCGAGAATTTTCTAGTATCATTCTCCTAAAATGTTGGTGCCAAAACTATGGCCCAAAGCATGTGCCAGTACTTGATTTGAGTTTTTGACCTTCAATCCAGACACTCCTTTCATTTAGCTGGATGACTTTTCTCAAGATATACACAGTCTATCTTTCTCAAGATACAAACTCTACTTTTAACAATAATATGCAAACATGGCATGCTGTAAAGAAGAGTGTCCCAGCAGCCTTATCCAGGGCTGTCACTTAAATGCAGGCTGATGACGTTGATAGAAAGCCCCTAATAGCTTTATCCAACCATTTAAGCATTCAGAAACTATAATTTTCATGTGCTTTGCATGAAAAACAATATAACGATGGTAATGCAATCTGTGAGGATGGTGATTGTGTCACACAACTCCATTGTAATTAAAAACCACTTGTTCTGAGAGTTGCGCAATACAAACACTATTCATGATCAAAGAACACTCTATCCATTCAAGCTTTAAGTAAGATCCATTGTTTAAGCGTGAAAACAACAAAGGACAACACAAACAAACAACAAAGATATAGAAGAATTTACATGCCTAATCAAATGATTTGCCGTGATGGAGATTCAAATTAACAAGGGAAAAATAGACAAGAGATTAACCTCAAAGCATATGATTGAAACAACTATGACAAACTAGCATTACACAGCTTATCAATGATCTAATAAGATGGACATCAAATAGACTTGTGATAAATAATCTAGGAGATTGGACTTGAAGCACATGAGTAAAAGTTGAAACAAAAAATATCTACATGCTTTATTCACACAATCAAGGAAACGAAACAGAGCTTAACAAAAAACCTTCATAAACAATAATAACAATTACAAATTACTGATTCCTCAATCACCCTGTCAGCTTAACAAGGCTTGCGACACAAATCTCTGCTTCAAATGAAGAAAGACCAATATCAACTTCTCTTTGCTCTTTCTCGTCAAACCACCAAATCGTGTCGTTGATTTGTAGTACTTCGTTGCAATTCTTTGAATAAGCCAAAATTCTGATGTAATAGTTAGTGACGTTTCCATAAATTTGTCCCCAATCAGCTTTAAACAGTCTGGTCCATGACGCATGCACTTTGTAATCCTTCATGACCCATAATTCAACGCAGTCATATCTAAGGCCAATCTTACAAATGCAAAACAAACACAGGCATCCACCCAATTCCCCCAAGGTCATGCACCCAAAATCCGAAATGGGGGTGAATTGCAGCATCCAGTATTTCTCAGCCACGGGATCAAAAGCAGCAATAATTTCATTCACCAAGCACTTGAGCACAATGTCGTTGTTCTGGTGACCAGCTAGCCAATGCAAAGCACCATTAACAAGCACACCAGGATAGCGATGTCTAAGTTCATAAGGGAAATTATCATGAACCTTTCTCCACAAATTCAATCTCAAACTATAAACCCAAACATTAGAGTGGTAGTGATCCTGGTTATAAAAGGATTCATATCCCCCGGATCACCCTTACAATCTTGTAATCATCATTAACAGGATCGTATCCCATTCCATAATGTACATCGTGATTGTAAAGATTCTGTTAAGAAATAAGGATCCAGTAGGAGTTTATGAGAACAAGAGCAAAATAAATGACAAGAAAATAAATAAAGCGCACACACAAATGAGACAAGGATTTACGTGATTCGGTTGTGCCTACATCCACGGGGAGAAGATAGAACAATATTTCACTATGGAAATAAAGAAATACAATGCTTAAGTGGCTCACACCCAAAACCCAATTACACCCAAAACTCTCCAGCTCTTTGCTTTTCTTTACTAAGAGAATTCACTCTCAATTTTTTGGATGATCTGGAATGCATGAGAGGCATGGCTATTTATAGCCAAAATTTGGTTACCAAAAAACATGCTTGCTGATCATGTACAAGGCTGCTACTTGGTGGCCATGCATGGAGACTTGGTGAATACACATACTTAAAGCCCAAGTTGATGGTGAAGTCATGGGTGATGTATGCTTGCTGAGTTGGCAATTTGATTTGAGCCATAATATTCTAACAAATCTCCACCTTGGCCAAAAAAAATTTCGAATGAGCCATTGTATCTCTGCCAAACAACCTGTCTTCTCCACGAAACAAATTAATTAAGAATTTTAGTTAAGTTTGAGTCATCCTCAAACTTAACCCTCGGGCTCTTATTCTTCAACTCATGCATGTCTTGCGCAACCACAAGCATATGTCAAACTTTAAATGTTTTCCAAAAGCAACCTCAGAAATTCCAAGTTTGACATCTCCTACAGCAACCTTCTTCAACCGGTCACAAACCACCGGCTGGTAATGAAAAGTCATCTTCTCACCCTTGTGGAGAATAGGACGTCCTTGACTTTTCTTCGCATCTCTATTGTGACCAACTACTTGCCTCCCACACATCTTAATGACACTCGAATGGACTATCTCATTGTCACCAAGATTATTCCAAGTCAATATCACACATGTCCTCATGGGTCTGCCTCCCTGTAAGGACTGCTGCGATTTCAGTTGCCATCTGAAAACGGATTTCATTCTCCCACTATGTTGTGTAGTTCCCCTTACAACCCTTTTGAGAATTAGGATCGTAACTCCTCTTTCGAACACTTCTTTTGCCAAGACCTGAACGCAGATTTCTGCTAACTGTAGAAGACCCTGTAGAAGCTCCACCTGTTACTGTATTCCCTTGGAGAAGTATAAATTTTTCACCTTGGTGTCCTGTAGCACCACAAGAGAATCCATCACAACCATTATTACTCCACCCTCTGTTACAACCTTGTAACCTTTGGAGTCAAGCACACCTACAGAAATAAGATTCATCTTCAGATCCGGTACATGTCGAACATCTGACAATGTTCTCACCAACCCATTGTGCGTCTTGATCTTGACTGTTTCAATTCCCAAAATTTTGAAAGTTTTCCTGTCCGCCATCAAAATTGAACCACCTTTCACCTCTTTATAGGAAGAGAAAGAATCCCTACTAGGACACATATGAACGGAACAACCAGAATCAAGAATCCAACTGTCATTAAATGACATACCTGAACACAAGGTTGTCATGAGAACATAATCGTCACTCTCCGAATCACTCGTTGTAGCAGTTGCCACATAAACTGCTTCTTGAACCTTCTCTTTGCCATTCCTATTCTTTGCCTTTAGTTTGGGACAGTGCTTGATGATGTGCCCTATCTCGTGACAGTAGTAACATTCCATATTTTTATGAGATCTAGATTTGCCCCTACCACCAGAACCCCTTGTCTCACCTTTGCCTCTTACAAATAGATCCTCGACTTGTTCATCTCCAATATTTCCAGACACTTTTTTCCTCAACTCCTAAGAGTTCAATGAGGATTTAATATCCTCCATACTAATAGTGTCTTTTCCATAGAGCAATGTGGTAACAAAATGTTCATAGGAAGGAGACAAAGAACACAACAAAATAAGGGCTTAATCGTCATCATCAATTTTAATATCAGTATTTTTCAAATCCATAATAATAGAATTAAAATTATCAATATGCTCCTTAAGAGGCATACCTTCCTTCATACGAAGGGTGTAGAGTCTCTGTTTCAGTAGAGTCTGTTGGTGAGAGACTTCGTCATATACAGACTCTCCAATTTCAGTCACAACTTTGTCGCCGTGTCTTCATCAATAACTTCATGCAGCACCTCATCAGCTAAATTCAAAATAATCGCACTGCACGCCTTTTCATCGACCTCATCCTTGTCTTCATTGGACATAGTTGTTGGCAACTTGTCATTCCCGAATAACACGTTCTTTAGACCTTGCTGAGTTAGTGGGGCCTGCATCTTAATGCGCCAAAGACTAAAACTAATCTTGCCATCAAATTTCTCAATCTCGTATCTGGTCGACATCTCAAAAAACTCCCCAAAAAATTACTGGGTGAAAAATACCGTATTTGTGAACAGTACCCAGATAGTATATATGAACAGTATTTGTACATAATATACACGAACCTAGCTCTGATACCAGTTTGTTAAGAAATAAGGATCGAGTAGGAATTTATGAGAACAAGAGAAAAATAAATGACAAGAAAATAAATAAAGCGCACACATAAACAAGACAAAGATTTACGTGGTTCGACTGTGCCTACATCCACGGGAAGAAGACAGAACAATATTTCACTATGGAAATAAAGAAATACAATGCTTAAGTGGCTCACACCCAAAACCCAATTACACCCTAAATGTAATACCCCGATAATTTTAAAAGATTTATTAATTAGGATTAATTATTTTATTTTATTTTTCAATGATTTATTTTATTTTATTGAGTGCTAGATTAATTATCTTATTTTAATTAAGTTATATTTCGTGATTATGTATGATGATTGATTGTTTGTGTGGTTGATTATTGATTGAATTATTGGTGTGTTGATTTTATTGGTATTATATGACTTAGTTGTAAATTCTTGTTTGTTTATGTGCTTCATGTAATTAGTTATTTTAATTTCTGTATTTAATTAATTATCTTATTTATTTAAATTAATTGGATTGGGCTTAAGGAAAGTTGGACCAAAAGATGTGGTCTTGGGCTTGTATGAAATCTTATTGGGTTAATTAATGAAGGTCCGTGGTTATTTAATTATTTAAATGATCACTTTTGTATCAATTATATTTATATATATATATATATATAATAATATATAAATATAATTAATTAATAATTGTTATGGAAAGATATATATATAGATATATATTTATTGATATTTATAAGCATATATGATTTAATTAACTAATGAGTTAATTATGGAAGGAATATATATTTATATATATATATATGTTTATAGATATAAATTATTTAAAGATTATTATTTTAATTCATAATACTAGTTGGAATAGGATTTGGAATTTAAGGTGTATAAAAATACACATAAGGCTTTAGGGTTAAAGGTTTTACACGTTAGAAAAATAAAACAGACAGAGAGAGAGGAAGAAGAAGGGCTGACAAGGAGGAGGTCGGATCTGAAAAGGAGGACGTCGGAATTGGAAGAGATAATTAAAACTTAAAGCGTCGGTTTCGTTTCGAAACCTTCAAGCGAGTTTTCTCTAACTTTCCTCTTAGAACTCATAAGGATTTCACCTTGAGTATCAAGGCTTTAATTAAATTTATTTGTTTAAAAATTATGGTTAGATCGGAATAATTAAAAAGTATAAACTATTATATTTGATTTTTAGATTATTGGATTTTAATTGATATATATAGGTGTTATGTATATTTTAAAATCAATCTATAGGTGGATTTGTGACCTAAGAGAGTTAATTATGGTTTCTTTATTTTCTAGAATTGTTCTGTAATTTTCTGGAATTTTTCTGATATTTTTAGGAATTTATTAGGATTTATTTTCCTATTATTTGTTAGGAAAATAATTATATATATATATATATATATATATATATATATATATATATATATATATATATATACTAGGTAACTGGCGCATGTGGAGCGGCGGCACAATAAAGAATTGATCCAGTGCGGCGCAGTGTAGGATAATAGGGTGTATACGCCAATTAGGGCCATTTGATTAATTAAACTTATGTGAATTGATATGGTGCATCGCGGCGCATAAAACTTTGGTGCGCATGTGTATCTGGACCATAGAAGTGGTCTGGTCAACTATGGGATTATTTGGTGTATTGCAGACCATGAGAAGATGGTGCACTCGCTGATCTGGACCTTAGATCTATTATAGTTAATAGAAAATAATCTAGTGTGAGCGTGTTCATTTGCGCACTCATTTATGACCATTGGATGCGGCATAAAGGAAGTGATGGATTCAGTGTGGTGAGCTCACGGTAGCTGAAAGAGCTTAGCCAATACCAGCACACAAGGAGGCTTGAATCCAGGGCGTGCAAGTGCATAGTAAGCACGTGGGCGCGCGTGGGAAACTATGTTGGCCTAATTCGACACTAGAAATTAAAACGGTCATAACTTAGTCATTTTAAATCGAAATTGGGTCATTCTTGAGCTCAAATTCAAGAATTTTTCGTCTTCTTTCCAATGGTACCAATTTCATTATCAGATTCCCATCCTACTAGGAGATATTTATGTTTTAGTGAGAAAGTGTCGGAAAACTATTTAAACCAATATAGAGTATTTAAAGGAAACTATTTCTGACATATTTAGTTGCACTAATTTGTGTAAATATAATAAATTAATAATTTGTTATGGAAGGAAGTGTGTGTGTGTATATATATATATATATATATATATATATATATATAATTATTTATATATGTGTATTATATTGATTTTAAATAATTAAGGATTATTAAAGAAGGTGTTAAACACATATATACATTAAATAACATATGTGTAGGTATATATATATATATAAATCATTTAAGATGATTAATATTATCATTCTTATTTGGCATATCTTAATAGGCTGGTTGTTAAATTAATGATATGCGTATAATATGCATGTGATGGCTATGTATGATTTAGCGTATTGTTAATTTTAAAGTTAATTCATGGTTAAAGTGTGGGCATGGATGAATTGTCAAATGATTAAATATATTACCTAAATATTTGTATGAATAGAATACATATATGGAAAGCATGGATGAATTGCTAATTAAATGTATGAATAAATATACCTGTGGAGGCATGGTTGAATTGCCAATGTATAAATATACATACACGGAGGCATGGTTGAATTGCCAATGTATAAATAAATATACTTATGGAGGCATGGTTGAATTGCCAATATATAAATAAAAATATTTACAATGGCATGGTTGATTTGCCAAAGCATAATTACGTTGTTATGTGTTAGATGATTAAAATATCATCTATGGTTGTTGTATGTATGGATTGGATTAGGGTTAGATATTCTTAAATGAGAATAGTTTAGTACTTACTGGTTAGTGTATTATTTTATATTAATAAAATAATATTGGGGAAGACGTGGATGATTTGTCAAAACTTGGATTTTGGATATGTGATTTAATAGAGTATTGCTTTTATTATAATTTGTTGTTTAAATGATTAAACAA